GGGTTGCGCACGCTTAAGGTCACCACACCATTTCGCTCCAGACAGTCACGCCAGTTGACGCCCCCATTATCTGGCTCTCTGCAACTGTCAGTGCCATCATCCCCTACTCCCACAACGCCCCCGCTCAGCATTTCCTCGATGTCGATTACTTCACCTGTGGGTGTTGTCCTATCGAGCGACTTTGTGAGCTCGGGCACAGAGAAAGCACATGCCAAAATATGGACGAAAGCTTGCTCTACATTGAGTGACATCCAATTTTGTTTCCCGGATCCATCGCCCGAGGCAGACATTGGACTGTGTGGAGTCTGGTTCCGCAGGAAGGAGTGACGGTCGAGTGCTAGCGCTCTCCCAGGATACAGCAGAGGAGAAGTAGCTTCGTCCAGCGCTTCTGGCCCTCTACTGGTGTGGATTGCTTCATTTTACTTGGTTTCGTCGAGCTCAATAAACTTTGGAATCTTGAAAGTCAAGTGTTGCCACGTCAGGATTAAGGTATGTATGGTGGTGATATGCAAGATATATGTGTGTAGAAATTAAACGGCTAGATATCAAAAGTCTACCTTGGTGTTCTAACCGCGTCGACCATGATCACATCTAGCTGTCGTGTAACTCCTTCCATCAATCCGTGCGAAGACGCTTCTTGGCACTCCCGTTGATATGACCATTGCTGGCCGCATCGTCCACCGTCGAGAAATATTCTATAGATCCTTTGGGATCTGGCTTGATGGTTTTAGCACCCTCGGTCCAGCCCAAGGGGCAGACCTCCCCATGTTCCTCCTGCAAAAGATGCAGTGAAACGTTACGATATGCAAAGAAAAATCCGCACCACAAACTGGAAGGCCTTGAGAAGACGGACGGTCTCATCCACAGATCGACCGACGGGCAGATCATTAACGGTGATTTGCCTATTCAAAAGCGTCGGTTACCAAACTAGTCCACGATTCACACAGACACCCACCTGACGATTCCCTTGGGGTCAATGATGAACAAACCACGCAGTGCAATGCCCTCCTCCTCGATGAGGACACCATAGTCCTTGGATATTGTCATGTTCCTGTCCGCAACCAGAGGTAGCTTGAGGTCGGGTCCAATGCCACCCTGCTTCCTCGGTTGCTGCGCCCACGCAAAGTGGGAGTACTGAGAATCCGTGGAAACGCCTAAAAAAAACTCATTAGAACGCGTCCAATAGACCACGAAAATAACCCCGAACTAACCGAGAACGGAGGCATTCAGCGCTTTGAATTGAGGAAGCGCATCGTTGAAAGCCAAGATCTCAGTCGGACAAACGAACGTGAAATCCCTGTTAGCGTGACGAAAATAATAGTGAGACATTATGCTTGAGGAGAACTTGTGTTATCCTCACATTGGGTAGAAGAAAAGAATCACCCTTGCAATAAGCTAATGTTAGCCGCTCCTCTCACGAACGTCTAGCGCGTAAAACGCGTACCATTGACCCAGGTATTCGGACAGGGAGACCTCCTTGAATTCACCCTCTACAACTGCGGTAGCTGTGAAGGCTGGTGCTGGGCGCTGAACGAAGACGGCCATTGTTGTGAGGTTGAGTTGTGAATTTAGAGAAGAGGCGAATTATCCAAGTGGTGTCAGTTGCTATGAAGATTTTAAATCCAATTAACCACCGCGTTATGTGTCTTTGTTTGGCTAGTCCATGGACCTGTTAAATGAAGACGGAGACAGAATGAAAATACGTATGACCTCACACTAGCAAGGGGACTACAGTGTGAGAAGCACTAAAGCGGCGCCTCTGTACAGCGTCAGAAATAGGTACCTACAACTCCATAGACGATTTTAGGAAGGAACATGCCTAAAATACACTGTTTTTACCAATTTCAAGTTTTTTGCAAGGATGTTTCAAATTTTGCCAAAAAAATCGAACTTATATATCGTAGATATCCATCTTCATCAGCTCATGAAGGTCTCGCTCCTGATGCTCTCAATATAAACAGCATGAACATTGGTCCTGGAGGCAAGCAGAAACCTCTTCGCGACACCATCATTCCATTATCAAACCCACCACCAAAACCTGGCTGTCTCGATACATGCGGATTGCCTCAGTCACTTGTTTACCCTTCATTGCATCCCAATGAAAAACTTGCTGGCAAACCGAAGGGCATGAGAGTGGTGTTGGAGGAGAGAGTGTCAGTCTGGGATGAGTATATTGAGAGGCTCAAGGGACGAAGAGTTGTTGGCGAGTGTCAGTCATGCCGAAAATCGGAGCTGAAGAAAGATGCAGAAAGACGAATTGCAGCAGCAGAGGCTATGGGACAAGAAGAAACTCTCGCGAACCATGACTTGGCTGAGGCTGAAGGTGAACCAGACGAAGTTGAATCCGAGGCTGACAATTGGTGTTGTATTTTCAAGGTGCTCTCTCTACAAGAGGACTTCGCAACTGAAAAACCAATGCTTCAACACCTCATCGAGAGCCAAGGGCATGTTTGCCTTTTCTTACCAAAATTTCATTGCGAGCTCAATCCTTCGGAGATGGTATGGGGGTATGCAAAGTATCGTAAGTCAGCTATCTATATCATTGATACAGCTATTGATGAAAGCTTAGGTTTTCGCAATGCATCAGATGGCAAATTCCCAACTGCAAAAAGTCTTGTTCCTCAATGTCTCGATCTTTGTGATACCTCAACTATTCGACGATTTTTTCGCAAATCTTGGCGCTACATGGATGCTTACAGGTACGGCGCTGCTTTCTCGTCAAATCACACATTTGTTGAACTCTTGAATCAGAAAAAAACTCGATGCTCGACAAGTTGCATTTGCTGTGAGGAAGTACAAGTCTCACAGACGCATTGGTATGACAGCCGAAGTCCTCGCATGTGTTAGCAATGCCGCAGGGTCACAGAACGGCCTCCCGTAGCCTCGTAGTATCATTTCTGATCACTGTGTATGCCTCCTGGGCCTCCAAACGCTATTTTTCTTGTAATGTTTCAAATTTTGGTGACGAAAATTTTGAATGCGAGTTTTTTTAAATTCTGGCCAGCAAGCATTAAACTACACATAAAACTACGTAGATCTACACTATGTTCACTCGAATCGCGCTGGTTTTCGTCTCGTAGTAGCAGTCGCGCGTCGGGGTTACCCGAGGCGTCGAAAACCTGCTTCGCACACTGTAGTGTCATAATATTGTCATGTAAATCTGTCATAGCATCAGGAAAACGGCGAAGTGCGAAGCTCCTACTTCAATGATGCCATTTATTTCCTAATTGCAACATTGATCAATTTGTATTCCAAATCGCACAAATAAAAGATAAGCAGCGAGAGAGCCCGAATGTATTCACAAAAAATCTCAACTCTGGTGGATAATCTACGATCATCTAAGAGCAAACTCCCTGAAACGGTTCAGAGAGTCCTGTGTACCTGCACATTGAGGGCTGCTAGCTTGTACGGAGTAGGCCTCTGGTATTAGTTCCTCGAGATGCTGAAGGAAAGATGAAACCATGAATCTCAAAGTAGAAACACTACACTGACTTTGATTCTCCGCTCCGCACCAGGGTGCGTGCGCAAGAATTCCAAACTTGTTGCTCCATGGGCCTTTTCATATTGTGCGAGTCGCGCATGCATTCTGTGATGTCGCGCACATAAGTCAGACAGTGGAAAACCCAGATCACTCACTCCACAGCAGCCTGGGGGTCAAAACATGCCTTTGCAGTGAGCTGCATGCCGATAGTATCGGCTATATCCCTGACATCAGCATCTCCATGTTTATAGCTGAAGAGATATACCCTCATATTCTTGAGTCCGCGAATTGGGTAGCTCCAGTAGCAACGTGCTTATGAGGTTGGTGATTCCAAAATCGAACCCGAAGACAGTTTGCAGAAGAACTGCTAACGCTAGGAATACTTTGGAGGACGAATAGCGCTCGGAAGCATGTCGAGCAACTGGTAAAGAAAGGTTAGAATTTGCATGCGTGTTGTATCATGCCAACATACCCACGTGGGCGATCTCTGCCGGATTATTTGAGTTGCGCAGACTATCCATTGCGGAATTGCATACCATGTCCAAGAACACCAGCTAAACCCTGTTCATCCTTGCATATAGGTAAAATTCCGGTGAACACCACGATATTTCCTGTGACCACATATATGTGAAGGTTCACTTGCAGAGGCAGTTCGAGAGCGAACCGAAGGTGGCCATGGCGTTTACAATGGATGGATCATTCACAACAAGCAGATTCCATTCTTTACCTCCGCTTTCGGGGGTAGACGACTCCTTGGGTCTTCCGGTGGTGAACGGGTCTTCGCTCCAGAAGTCATCTGGTGCCCCCACTAGTGACCGGCTAGGCTCACTAGAGCTCAAGTGGCCAAGGTCCGATGATTCAAGAATACGATTGACAACTCGTTGGACGTGTCGTGTTACAGGATGATCGGAAGGTAGTATCTTGCCTCGGAATTCAGCCAAGAGCTCGTTATACGCCGCCTGTGCAAGCTGCAAGGGGGCAAAAATGAAAGTTTGTTCCTTCAGGCTAAGCTTGCTCTCACATTTGTCTCGTACTTGGGACTTATATCCATAAATCGCCACCTACCTGTTTCAGGGACTTGTTCTAAACTTGAGGGGTGAAGTGAGACACAACATTACAAGTAATGTGCTGAACACGTACTGCACGACATAATATGTTCCTCCGAGTGCAACAACTGCAATAACAATCTTCATGCGATTATCTATCACATCTCCTGACGGGTGGCGTTGATTTTCGGATGAAAAGCGTGTATACTGAGCATGCCGGGGAGATGATGTCGAAAGTTGGCGGAGGGGAACTGAACGAAGGCTGGATGTCGGTAGTCGAACTCGTGAATAATTTCTAGCAAGGGCTGGCAGGCCTCGAGTACCACACGACGCCCGCAGAATAGGTGCTACTGTCGTCCGCATGCGAGTAGGGAACATCACGAATTGGCGAGACGGGTGTCCGAGCTTGGAGGTTCCATGTGCTTGCATATAGAACTGTAGATTCACAAATGAACTGGGCCTTTCCCACTCAATCGGATATGGTGTAATGGTTAACATTACCGCCTCTCATACTTCATGGTTCGCGGTAGCTCGGGGTTCGATTCCCCGTATCCGAATATTTTTGTATTTCAACTGCCGTTTATAAATCAGTTCGTTTCATTCTCAGTAACACCAAGTACTCCTAGGTCTGATTAATTGATTTTTCCAAACCTGTTGCTTGATATAATTTTTTTCTTTTAAAAAGTACGGTTTGATTATCTTGGACGTCGAAAGCTCCGAATCCTCAGACATACTCACTGGCAACCAAAACCAAACCAAAACTACGATGTCATGGGTCATCGACACGGCTCTGGGGCCTCAAAATCATATCATCCTCGAAAATGCACCTCGGAGCCCCCTGCCGCGGGAGATCGGTCAAAAACCATGTACAAGGTCACACCTAACCCCCTTCTACAGCGGACTCCTTGCCATCATCATAATCCATTTGCATCCCGTTCTCTGGGTCAGCTATCACCATTCGCGGACATGACATTGTACAGTACGACGTTCCCCACAGTATTTCTCGCTGCTCACCCCAACGTTCTTTTCGGCTGCATCCATTTATTATTCCCATTACTTGTACATTTTCTGGTCTGCGCAATATTACCGTAAAGCGGTCTAGACACTCCGCAGCAGTGTCCTAATCTTCATCCCAGTTACTTGCTTGTTGAGGGACTTTGGGTCCTGCGGGCTTGATGGCCCACTGTTTTGTGGCTAGTGGGTCGAGAGCTAGCAACGTGCCATCTCGTTCGGCCTGGCATATGATCAATCAATCAAAGAATGACGATACAGAACTAGTGAACTTCACCTCTATATCGACACCCCAGGCTTCGCCGCCCTCCTGTTCGTGCTTGGCCTACAACTGACTGAGAACCTCGTTGCCCTCAGCACCTCCCAGGGCGTTTTCAGCGAGCGTTCGGGGTATGACTTCGAATGCTGCGGTAGCATACCGCTTCACAGCATGTTGTGCCAGCCCCCTCATCCCGCTCCCATATACCTCGACACGCTTGCCTAGCCCCAGCTCCGTTGTACTTGCACCTGGAACTAGCCGTGGATCTTTTATGATGGATTTGATCACATTGACGCCATCGTCGATCTCGCGCTCGAGATCGTCGCGATGATTAGCAGTCGCCCCCCTAAGCACGACCGTTGCTGTGCGCGTCGTCTCTGTATGTCCCTGATACCCATCCTCGCCAGGAACGAGCTGACGAAGGACAGTGACACGATTTCCGTCGTCTCGAAGATGGGGTGTTCTTTTGAATTATGTAATGTTAGTCTGATACATCGGACTACCCGTCTCAGGTCTGTCCAACGACATCACTTTGACAGTTTGACTAGTTCAAGTTTCTTGCGCACTGATCTTCGACTCTGCGGCTGAAAGCTGTTAAATGATATGGCCTAACCCGAATATGATATCGATTCATGCATCAGTCCTAAGTATGGAGCTAATATTGAAATTCGGATTCGGACAAGCCTCATTCCAACCGCCTGAAGTCACTATAACGTTACCCCGGCGTATTCTTCCGCAAAATGAGGAGCTAAATTCGTACCTTTCTTCGGATCAGTCTCCATGGAGCTCATGATCAAAATTAGTGTTGCCGCGAAGCGAACTGAATCGAACTGAAGTAGAAATTGGACACACTTCGTTACACTTCGATGTGAACGAAGTTAGTCGAAGTGCACTTCGTTCCACTTCGCGAAGTCGGCAATAGGCGGGAAAACTTGCAGCAATAATGGATCAATCAAATGTAGCTACAGCCTACAGTATAATCTAAGACTAAGCTTCCTCATTTTCATTTGCGAGTAGCTGAGCAAGTTCGTTGAGCTTTCCTGCTGCCACGAGCTCGTCTATGGTGTTCCTAGACACAGGCCCCGAAATATTGTAATCCATTTCTTCTGCAACCAAATGTGACGTGAAATCCAGCTGGTCTTGCTTGTAAGAGAACTTGAGAATCTGTAATGCTTCGAGAACTGGTGGTGAGAGGTTAGCATGCCGATCCGTGCATGTCTCTTTGCTGGATGAGAAGACTCGTTCGGAAGGAACAGATGAAGCCTGCGCGGGAAGAACATCCATTGCGACGCGGAAAAGCAGCGGGAATATAAGTTCTTTTTGCTGCAAATAGCTGATTTAATGAATGAACAAAAAAACAACTAAATGGTACACATACCTCCCAAAAACAAACAATATCAGCTGTGGTATCAAGAGGTGCTGCTTCCTCATAGCGCTGCATTTCTCGTTCAGCATCTTTCCTATCTTCCTCTAAATCTTGTTGCATTTGCTCTTTGAGTGTTAATGTCGGAGTTGACTGGCCAAAAGAAGGACTTAAAGGAAGTGGTGCAGCCAAGTCTGAATGGGTGGCAGAAGGTAACAATCATTGAGGTTGTTGAACGTCGAACACTAGTGTTGATCTTCGTCAAGTGCCCAAATCTGGCTATCAGTGATTGGTTTGTGCAATACTGGACCTGGGCCTGGAGCATGCAGAGGTGGGGAGAAGTTTTGCAAAGTCTTGAAAGAGCCATTTGGTGTTATCAATGGCGAAACTTGTGGACTGTGACTGCCAGAGCTCTCAGCCCTTGGGATGCCCAGTGTTGGAGGTGAGTATGAAGGATACTGTGATCGACTACTGGGAAGAAAACCTGTTGGATGGTACATGGAAAGTCGCAAAATATTTCTTTCAAGACACAGACAGTGAGCCCGAGGTTATTATAATG